AATATGTAAGTACTTATGTAATTAGAGATAACAACAAAAAATTTGCAATGTAATTAATCGATTTTATTCTAATCAGACGTTTTCGATTAAAATATATAGATATAGCCATAAGATATAGATAAATACAAGAATATTTTAAAAAATAAATTACAAAAATTAAAAGAAAGCTAAACAAAAGCCCGACATGGTCTGTAATTGCTCTTATAATTCTCTGTATTATTATTCAAGTGTACAAACGTTTCGGCACATTTTTTGCAGCTTCAGTATACATATAATTGCATAATCAAACGAACCTCTGTGAAGTTCGATTGTAATTATGCGAGGACTTTCGTCCGAGTATGATGAATAAGGTGTAGTCATGATTATGCACGTACGCAGTCGACAAGTTTTTAAGCTCCCGCCAAAAAAACGCGAAGTAGGTACGGCTGGACGCCGCCGTGCGGAGCCCACATCTACATCCGATCATTTTTCAAAGTCCGTTCAAATTGTCCTAGGAGGAGAGAAGACCCTGGGTATGGGCGGGAACGGATACTCGGACAAAAGTCCTCGCATAATTACAATCGAACTTCACAGAGGTCCGTTTGATTATGCAATTATGCTCGTACTTTCGTCCGAGTATAATGAATAAGGTGTAGCTGTTTAAAGCTTAAACAATTTGAACAGCGTTTTCTTCGTTATTATTTAATAGTTGGAACAAATAGTATCTCTTAGGAACTAAAATGAAATGGAAGACTCGACTAGAGTAACAATACAAACATAAAATAAAATAAGTCGCAACTGAAGTATAGCTACTAGATTATCTGTTAAGAATAAACGCTCGGCTAATATTACCCGATGGAATTAGAGGGCGATTGTAAAATTTTGCAAACGTGGACGAATTACTTGACCAACCGGCCGATTTGTAAATCTCGTCAAGAGGAACGTTGAGCCGCGCAGCTGATGAAGTTGCAGCATGGCGAACTGAATGCGCGGTGAAGATTGAGGTATCAATACCACCCTCGGCTAACGTCTTTTTTATCCATCGGCTAATAGTCTGGGTCGAAGCCGCTTTTGGTTGCTTGCCAAACGTTAGAAAAAGAGCGTCAGAGTCGCTTGGTAAGAGAGAATTTGTTTTTTCAATATACATGCGCAGCAAGGAAGCGATGCATAACTCCGGACATTCTTCAAACTTATGAAAGACCATCGAAGATTGTGTTCGATTAACGCCCGACGTCTTGATTCTATCAGGTATCTTTATGATCACAAGGTTCGTAAGCGAGATATTCGCACGCTTAATTAAGGCGAGGTTCTGAACTCTAGAAGCTGTCGCTAAGGCTATCAATGTCGCTAATTTATGCGTCAAGGTTTTCCTATCCAACGATGAATGGGGGGTGAGGGTCCTCAGGTGAGCGATGACCGGATTCGGGTCCCATGTGAGGGCATACTTCGGTTTTGAAGGCTTTAAAACCGCCGCACCTTTGCAAAAACGCTTCACCCTGGAGTCCGAGCCTAGGTTCACGTTGGTGATGAAAGAAAGCGCTGAGCGGATGGAATTGAGAGATCCGTACGCTGATATATTTTTCATCTCGGCCGCTAGGAACTTTAACGCAACCCCGATGTCGGGCTGGAATCAATCGTGGCTTTTATTCTTGCAATATAGCCACCACAGCTTGATTGGCCTCGCGTATTGCTTCAAGGTCCCCTCCGAAAGTGAGGCCAAGGACGTGGCTAGAGCTGATTCCGGGATTCCCTTTCGGCGAAATGCCTGTAAGATAATTTCCCGGCTGCCAGGGAAATGTTCCTCCACATCGGGTGCTGGTTGCTGAAAGAAGAGTGTAGCAAGTTAGGGTTTGGATGAAAAATTAGGGTTGGAGAGGCTAGCAGTTTGTTAAACATGAGGAACCATGGCTGAGAGTCCCACCAGGGCACTACCAAAATCCCTTCTGCTCGATCGTTAATAATTTTTCTCAAAACCTTTGGTATAATAGAAAAGGGGGGAAACGCATAAAAATAAGATGTGCTCCAATCTTGTGTGAAAGCGTCCACGGCAGTCGCGAATGGATCGGGAAACCAGGACACGAAAGACGAGCATTTGGAATTCGCGTGTGTCGCGAACAAATCGATTTCGAAAGGGCCAAAATTTCTATTGATCTCTTTAAACGCAAATGAAGCTAGTTGCCACTCGGTTTCGGTAGAGAGGATTCGAGATTGCTCGTCAGCCACCACATTCTCAGAAGACCTTATGTAAGACGCAAAGATCTGGATATCTCTGTGCTCACACCATTGCCAAATTAGTTTTGTCACTGCTGCAAGCTTTGAGAAACGGATAGATCCCATTTTGTTTATGTAGGCAATCGCCGTAGTGTTATCAACGCGTAAAATGATGTCTCGGGAGAATACCTCGTTAGCAAAACATCTGAGAGCATAATAGGCTGCCTTTAATTCCAACCAATTGATATGCTCTTCCTTTTCCTCCGTAGTCCATCACCCATGTGTTTTCTGGTTGTCCATAGCTGCTCCCCAGCCCGAAAGAGAGGCATCGGAAAAGATTTCATGTTGGAACCTCTGTCTCCTTAACGGCTTACCAATATTCGGCAATGCCAGCGTGTGTACCCATCATTTAAAGTCTGGGATCAAGTTCGAGGGTAACGTCATGTGGGCCTCGTAGTTATCTCCAGAGTTTTCGCATGCCTGGAATTTTAGAGATTCGAAATCTCTAATATAGAGGAGCCCGTAAGGCACTGCCCAACAAACAGATATGAGAGCACCGATAAAATTCGCAAAATCGCGAATTTTTGTCTCCGATTTTGATAGGAAGGAAAGCACACGTGCAGCTAATATAATCCGTTTATCTTCCGGCAAGTAGATGAACATGTTTTTAGTATCGAGAATAAAACCCAGGAATCTTTGTTGACGACTGGGGGTTAAAACGGACTTCTTATGATTTATTAAAAAACCCAGTTTTGTCAGTAAATGCAAAGTCATATCGACGTTTGATTTGCAATCCTCAAAGGAATCACCTATTAAGAAGAAGTCGAGATAGATAATCGAGACATAACCTCTCTTTCTCAAAAAGGAAGCTACTGGTTTCATTATTTTGGTGAACACGAAGGGCGCTAGATTTAGGCCGAAAGGAAGAGCGGTGAACTCGAATATGGTCTCATAAAATGAAAAACGTAAAAATTTTTTTGAAGATTCTTCGATTGGGACCAAAAAGTAGGCGTCCTCTAAGTCGATGGACGCCAGGTAGGTTCCAGTAGAGAGTAATTGGCAAGCCAATTTTAAATCTTCCATCTTAAAGTGTGGAGCATCGATGAATTTATTCAATTCCTTCAGGTTCAAAATAAACCGTTTTCCACCTGAAGATTTGTCAATTAAAAAATAGGGTAAAAGAAATTGATCCTCCGAGAATTCTGCCCGGCTGATCGCCCCTTTGCGAAGTAAATGATTTAGCTCTGTGGCTATCTCTTCGGAGTCCGAACTGCTTAGTTCTGGTTCCGGCAAGTAGGGGCGCGAAGGCGGGAGGGTTGAGAAGGGTATTTTGAAGCCCGACACAAACTCCAAAATAACTGGATCTGTTGTTATTTCTGTCCAATTTGAAATAAAGTACTTTAACCTGCCGGCAACGCATACCTCTAGTTCCTGCGAAACGTTCTGGAGCGAGATCTCGAGCGACGTCTCGAATTCTGTTGCTGAACCCTTGCGGGACGAGACGCTTGAGTTTTCCTCGCAAGGGGTTTCTCGTTTCCCTGCAGTGACCTCCTCTGAGGTGGCTGCCTGGTGTTCAGAGTAAGCGGTTTTGTTGTGGGTACGCTCGTCCTAGTAAGACCCTTGACAAGCTTGTCAGCTGATGCAGTCTCCTTCATTTTTGCCAGGAACTGTTCACCAAACAGCTTTTTGTCCACAGCAGAACCATCTAGCGCATTTTTTGCGGACAGTGTCAGCATTGGAGAGATAAGGGATCGACGAGTCAATGAAATGTGGTGCTGTATCATCGCTGTCAAGCGTGCTGCATCACTGGCCTTTTCAAAAATGTCTTTAGTATCCCAGGAGATCTCCGGTTTCAGGAGTTCCAAGAGTAAGAGAGTTTGAGCCGAGATTGCGGCTCCTATAAGCTTCTGTGTTGAGCATTGATAATCGTCTCTCTTAGCTGCAGACAACGGCAACACTTGACGGATCTCTTGGTTGAGTAACGGGGCCCTGCACAGAGGCAGATTTGCCGGAGGGGGGTATTTCTTGATTAATAATTCCCTCGTTTCTTTAGTGAAACCGTTTGAAAAAATAGTTGACAATTTTTCCACCAAGAGATCGTGAATTGGTGGACCCGACACTTCTGCTAGTTCATTGTCGCCCAATAAATCCCTCTTGAAGTCAGGAACTGCGAAATCTGCCTCAGACTGCTGTTCCGCTATGGTGTGAATTTCCGTGTCGAAGGACACAGAGCGGGCGTTCTCGACGACCGTCAGAGCTGGAGGCGCATTCTCTACAACAAGAGAGACGGTCGTCTCGCGAACCGTTCTATGGCGCAAATCAAGTGTGGGCAGAACCGTACTTTGCTAAGCAGGTTCTATGCCCACATTTTTTGTAAGTACGTACCTTTGTCGGTGACTAGAGATTTTTGAAAAGGGGCGGACGCTGCCTTGATGTCTTGCGCGTTAACCTGGTCTGACGTCTGCTGCGTAGACTCTAGGATACGCTTTTTCTTGTTTTTGGAAAGAAGGTTGATGAGGGCATCGAGTTTGTCCTCAAGGCTGACATAACCTGAATGATCATGGCGGCCTTCCGAGGCGCTGCGTGAACGGCGATCTCGTTTTGAGCTTTTCCGACTTCTCTTGATGTTTTTATCGGAGGATTTGTCCCGAGAGCGCTCCTGTGAGCGATCTCTCGAGCGTTTGTGCGACCCTTTTGGCATTTTAAATACGAAAAAAGGTCAAGAAAATGTAGATGAAGAAAAACGCACAACTTGTCGACACGACGAACAAGAAACACAATGATCGGATGTAGATGCGGGCTCCGCACGGCGGCGTCCAGCCGTACCTACTTCGCGTTTTTTTGGCGGGAGCTTAAAAACTTGTTGACTGCGTACGTGCATAATCACGACTACACCTTATTCATCATACTCGGACGAAAGTACGAGCATAATTACCCTAACAGCACACGATATTCTGCGTATCATCCCATTTTCATACTCATTCTACTGTGATTATCCGTTAAATACTGAGATCAATCCTATAATATCTTTTGCAGTATTATTCGGTTTTCTTTCACACACGTATAATCTCAGGTTTGACTCAAACGTACGGAAGTGATACGTACGCACTTCTATCGCGCGCGTATAATCTCAGGTTTGACGAGACCAGCACTAACCTGCGCCATTTACATACGTAATTCCTATTTCCGGTCTTTTCCCGCTTGCCTGGCATCAAGTGACACCACGCAACACCACGTATCCGAGGTTTTACTGATATCGAAGGTAATCCTTTTTTCCTTTAAGTTTTATTTTACAAAATAGTGAATAAAGTGTAAAAGCTAGATAGTGTTTGTATATGATTTTGTAATA